AGGTCATTCCTTGTTTTAGTAACTACGAATCAAAAAGTGAGGACAGTTCCGATTCTTCGACCGATCAAGAGAGAAAGCACCGTAAAAAGAAACGTCGCAAACCGGCGAAGTAAAAAAAGTACAGACACAAGAAAAAGCGGGCGCAAGAGCACATATAGTTGCGGCTCCCAGGATGGTAAAGCTGGCGCCCCAGTCGATGGCTCTTCCCTTTGTCGATCCTCTAAGGAACTTTCACAAGGAAGACATCACGGGAGGAAACTGTCCGTTAACTGAGTTAGCATCAATCGCTGTAGCTATAGACGAATGACGTAAAACATATTAATGTAAAAAATACAGTTGCAAACGAAAACAGTTTACTGCAATATATGTTTGTAGTTTTAGAGCTTGTTGTTCAGTTCTATCGATTCATCTTGTTTACATTCCTTCGTCGACATAGTTTTGCTCTATGATTGCCGCAATTACCCTTGCGTTTCATATTATTTCAGTTTTATAATACTGTAGAACACTGATGCTTGGTTAAGTTAGTGAATAAACACAATTTCGCTTTTATTTAACATCTGTGTGTACTAAAAAGGTGTTTGTGTATACGTTCCCACTGTCCGGTATTTGCACCCGTTCAAAACAATTATGAACTCTATTTTTATACTATAAATTTACGACATAATAACTCTCCATTGTGTGGAATTCGCGAGGCTTTGGACAAAAAGTAACTTTTAATGACAAATCCACAATGACTGAAAATGTTCTGCGAAATAGCTGGCGTGATTGTTTACAAACCTTGAATAATCGCAAGTTCTGTGAAGTTAATTGAAAACTGTTCGTGTTGTCCCAAATATGCCTTCATCGACCTAAAACAAAACTCACAAGAATTAAACTTAGGACTACAGGGGGGTTGAAAAATTAATTCAACACCGCGATTTCTTAGCATTAAGCGTAACTGGTTTTCCGCGAAAACTCCGTGGTGAAAGCCGCAGTTGTCCATTACAATAACATCTCCATTCGCCAAGACTGGATTCCCCACATGGTCTACAGCTTGTAAACTTTCTTTGAAGAAATGAATCATTCCAAATCCATTAGAAGGGCCTTCCGAATATTAAAGTTATCAATACCAAAACGGCTATGGAGAAGGTTTACAGAGTAGTTACAATTCGAGGCGCACCGTTAGATTTCAACTGCTGGAAGGCCTTTCTTACTATGTCCGTAACTTCGATTTGGCGTTGTTCTTACGGCCGAGGTTTGGTCAAAAAAATGAACCGTAGAAGGATCAACTCCCGTCATGTACATAATATAGTTCAAAGTTTTCAAAAGATTTTCATGAGTTTAAGATTCTGCAGGATGGACGGAAAGTTTTTTCCATGTGAATTGCAAGTCCTGTCTTACAATATCGGATATTGTTGAGCAAGCGGGGAGATTAGCTGGAGTACATATGGCGTTGGCAAGTAAGCCCTGCTGTATTTCAAAAGTTCGTGTGCTTGGTTTAAAAACCTTGCAATACTCCACAAATTCCGCCACATTTGGAGTAGCGACTGTGCGTTCTTTCCATCCTGGTTTTCCCGGAGCCGCCGTCCCATTTTGCAGGAACTTTGAAAGGATATTGGAGACGGTTTGATGTGAAAGATGAAGCCTTGAGCATATTTCTCTATTTCGATAGCCCGACGACCAGAGGGAAATTACTTTTTCCCTCTTTGAAACAGAGGTAATGTTGCTTGCCATCGCAGTCAACTCACAATATTCCAATATGAAAAACCGTTTGCTCAGGCAGCAAATTGAAATTTGAATCGCAACTTGTTAGGAGCAAACTGCCAATCAAAATACCAATATTGCAAAGTGGCGCGCAAACGAACAACCGGTTTCACTGTAATAGGCCGTTCTAATAATTTACTCTATAGCTCTATAGTGAGATAGACCACTTTCCATTTTTGTAAAGTGTTTTTGCATCTTCCTCTAGGTGACAATGACAATCATGATAATGACGTCTCTTATGATGGTTCTCGACCATCAACCTCGTTTCAAGAGCAAGGTGTGTATTAAATTACAGTACAGCATCCTAAACAGGTTCTGACATAGATGACAATTAACAGATATTTAAGTTATTTAGGTTCTTGAAAAGGTTCTTATTTTCTGAAGAAAAAAATCACATTGTTGGTAGTAAAATGTAGTGGTATTTGTCCTTTCTCTTATGCAGCAGGTAGTTTTTTCCGTATGCCTTATATATAATTGTCTCAGAGGAGAACTGGTCTCGAAGAGAGCTATCAATGTCAATTAATCTTATTTGCCAAAGTGCACACATTTTTAAGTTTTTAGAAAATAAGGACCTGTTTCAAATTTTTAGAGTCAACAGGTTCTTGTTTAGAGGGGGTCCAACTAAGAAATTTCAGGCTAGCAAGTTCTTAAAACATAGGTTCATACCTGCAGACCGTATTCAGTTAGGTGATGCTTGATACACTCTGTAAGCCCTGTCATGTAATATTAATGGTAGTAGTATAGGGTGCACCACGGTTTCCACTTTTTTGAGCAGGAATCTCATAAGCGTGAGCAGGAATACATTAACGCCGATGACGTCATAGGCTATTGTCCTCATCTCATGAATAAAATGCGGTGGATTTAATTAAGTATACTGGTTTGACCGGTTTCTCAGGTTCTATTTTTAGCCTGGTTGATATAACTGGTTTATATTTGTTTTATGACATAACCTATTGTCTTGAACTCATGAATAAAATGCGGTGGAATAAATTAGCGTCGATGACGCAAGAGTCTTTTGTCTTTATTCATAGTGCGGTGGATTTAATTAACATGTTCTATATTTAGAATGCTGGTAAAACCCGTTTGACAGGTTTATTTTAGATCGATGATGTCATAGTTTATTGTTCTTGAGCTTATAAAAGCTCGCTTTCTTCCAAGCACATCATTCGCAAGATGTGAGTTTGAGTAGTTATCATGGATTTTGATACCACTTTGAATGAGTTTGAAAATTGTATCTGGCGCGATGAGACTCCAAGAGATCAGATGTTGGATCGAATGATGGCTTTATGCTTTCCAGAAGGGGTAAGTTGAATTTTTTACTTATTAACGCACTTATTAAAGTTAATCTTTCCCTAACAAACTATGTATTTCTTGTAGACTCAAGATTCATCGTTTATTGAAGAAATGATGGAGCCATCTTTAAACCAAATACAAAGTGGAGCAGGCAGGAAACGACAGGCAGAGGTAAGTGTAAGTACTTGATTTTCTCACGCTTGTCAAGGTAGTTAATATATGGTTTACCCTCATTCTATAGGATGATGTAGACAAGTCTCCAGCTAAAATGCCTCAGTATGAATGTCCTACTTGTAAAAAAGTCTTTACACGACCAGATAACTTAAAACAGCATAAACAGATCCATTTCAAGGAAAAGAAGCACCAATGTTCCAAGTGTGACAAGAAATTCCATCGGAGATCAAACCTACTGCGCCACGAGAAGCAAGTCCACGAAAAGCGTGCTGCAACTAGAGAGTACAAGTGCAATACCTGCGGAGAGCGATTTCATAATCTGGCGCCATTCCGAGCTCATCAGAAGACAGCTCACAACCAACCCTTGCCTACAGCTACAAAACGTACACGGGATGATGAAGCAGGTAAATCTTTTTTTTTAGTCGTATGTAAATGTTTACTTGCTTCACACAAAAGATGCTAGGACCTATTTCTTTGTTAAAGGTCTTAATTCCATGCAAATTAACGGTAAAAGCAGTGAAGCGTAACATAGTCATGTGCTTATTTTGAGTAAGTTAAACAATGGAGCCCATTTCTGAATTTTAGTCAGACATTAGGAGTTTATTTCTTTGTTAGAACCAAAGCCCAAGCGTATAAAGCCAAACCCCGTGGAAGAAAGGAAAGCAACTTCTAACTAGCAAGAAGACCCCCGCACCATGTCTGACCTACCCCAAGAACAGCAACATTCCCTTCCTGAGTACCGCCGCCATTGGCATCAAATCAGAACCCGTTTCAGCCGCCATAACCGTCTTTCTGACTGGTATAACTTCTTCCTAACCTCCCTTCAACCACAAGAGATTTCCAACCACTTAGACGATATCTTCACTGATCAGTCCACAGTCTTCAAAATCAATGTGTCCTTTGGGTTTATTCTGAGAAACAACGAAACCGGTGAGTTGCAGTATTATTACGCATCAAGAAACAACGAACAAGTCTTTGAAGAACCTTTCCAGATTACAACCGCAGCAGACCTTCCCCAAGTTCGCGAAGCATTAAAGAATCTCGATGTCTTGGAATGGGTACGCCAGCAGCGTCCCAATTCTAAATGGGTTGTGGATACAGTGACCAATGTCACCTTCTTTATAACCAAGATTCGAGATCATCCTATTGGAAGAGGCACCGATTTGCCCGAGTACCTTAGTAACAATAATGGCTTACTTCCCTTGGACCGAGATCATAAGACTGGTAAAGTCTACAGCGACAATCTCTGTTTTTTTCGGGCTCTGGCGCTCCACAATGGCTGTCACCCCAAGAATCCAGAGAGAGATGCAAAGCATTACTACGAGAGATATCGCGAAGCACTATTCGACAAAAAGAAGTTCTGTGGTGTAAAACTGAAAGAACTGCCCGACATAGAACACCTCTTTGAAGTCAATATCTTTGTATATGCATTGGAGCCCACCAAGCCCGATGGAGAGGAGGGAGATGAAGACAATACCGAAGAAGAAAATACAGGAGACTAAATTAAAGAGATGGTGGACTACCTTGTGGAAATCAGTAGCAAGAGTTATGGCCTAATGAAGGAAGAGTTTTTCAGCATCTTTGAAGCCATCGATCAAAAGCTAGAAGAACCAACTACAGAGATTGAAACCCAAGAGGATAGTGATGATGAAGGGGAAGATCTAATGGAATCAGATGGAGAAGAAGAGAGCGAGTCTGAGACAGAAGAAGATCGTGCGTTTATTGATGATGAAGTGGCGGAAGATCAAGGAGCCTCGTTTTACCGGCCTTTCGACCGTGAACGTGCAGGGGAGGAAGTAGAAGAATATTTGGATACTGTCGAAAAACCAAAAGTGACCAACCCAGAACCTTACAAGAAAAAAGAGCACCCGTTGAAGAAACTAAGAGATAGACTCGAAGAATACTTGAGAGAGCTTCCTGTCCTTGGCTCTAATTCTGGTAAATATGATTTGAACGCTGTCAAAGAATTCCTCTTTCCTGTCCTGGTCCAGAATGAACAAGTTCAGTTCACCATTAAGCACAACAACAACATCATGTGCCTAAAGACGAAAAACCTTCGCTTCCTCGATTTTACCAACTTCCTCGCCAGGCTTCAGTTACGATAAGTTTTTAAAGGCCTACGAGTGTCCTCAAACGAAAGGGTTCTTTCCATACGAGTGGATGGATTCTCTGGAAAAATTAGAGCACTCATCTCTTCCACCTCACGAAGCCTTCTACTCTACCCTGACCAACAAGAACATTTCTAAGGAAGACTACAGTAGTATCCGTCGCACCTTCAGAACCTATTCTTATTCTAATGAGGTCGGACATTTCGTATGTTATTCGGAATACGTCGTGACTTCGGACATATTTTGTCGGGACACTTCGTGACTTGATCGGAGATACATCGTGACGTGATCGGTAAAACATCGACGGAATCATTGTTATAGATAATAAGATGCAAAGGGAGATTATATTTGTGGTTGAGTTTGAAAATGAAAAGTTGTGGGACTGATAAAATGTCCTTGAAGGTGCGCATGCTCCATGACTAAAAACGTTTTAAAACGTTGTTCGGGGTTCGCGGGTTTTGAAGAAGCAACCTTAGAATCTATATAATTTAGACTTACCTGCACGCTATAGTACCTACACTACCGCGAACCCCTTGTAAAAAGATTCACAAAATTGGTTATTGAATTTTATTCAGAAGTTGTGGCTCCTAAAGGAGCCGGTTTTTTTATGGTTCGTTCCTTTAATAAGGAAACGCGGTGACGATATTAAATTGATCCCCGTCGCAAGGTCGGTAGGTATAAAAAATACCAATGTGTTTGGTTGACTGTTCAGCTTCGATCGAGTATCCGATGATCCGATCCACATTAAACTTGTAAAGATAAAACTCGCCATGACGATAGTTGAATCCTTCCTTGACGATTTCATAATCTGAGCTATCCTGAAACGTGAGCTCTGTCAAATCAAGTAACGCCTTGGTTAAATTAAAATCCCGGGTAAACTGGGACTTGGAATGTGTATACATTTCACAGTGGTGGTATTTGTTAATGTGATTGGCACTCGATAAGGTCAGGATCGCGGACTCCGTTTCGGCGGGAACAGCGTAGAAATCAGTGCTGGTTTCCAGAATTGCTTCTTTAGCCAAGTTTGCGATAAAGTGAATAAAACCGTTGAGAACTTTTAAACAATCGTATGTAAATTCGCGCAAGTTGAAATTGTTTGATCCACCGCTCGGAGCGCGTCCTATGTTAATTTGCGCAACATTCAGTCTTTCATCCACCACGCCTTTACGTACACCTATTGTGTAGGCTAGGCATAAGAGAGCACGTTTCATAGTCAGTTAGCATTCAGTCTTTGAGTGAATACACGCATTGCTGCTCTTAAGTTACGTTAAGATGGAAACACTTCAAGAATTAGCGCTGAAAGCTGTTCCTTTCCCCGGAAAACAAGCGGAGATGTTTCTGCCACCACATCATCCCATTGCCAAAAAACTCCAAGCATTGGATTATCAGCAGATGAGGAATAAATTCCGACAGGAACATCGAGTGAAGTTCAGGTATGTGTTACCTTACATAAGAAAATTACCGCGAATTTGGCAAATCGCTTACCCTTAAAAATTTGTGTTTGTAGACTGGCAATGGATGAGATTTCAATTCTACGTGATTTGATTCCCTGCAATTGGCCTGTAAAACTCTGCCTCTACTTACTTCAATTATAGACGTGTGTTTTCAAGAATTGGATGAAATGATTCAAGTCTCGCAATATGAAAGACTCTCTCCATTTCATGTCTGCGTCAATCTGTATAAACGTATCAATTTGTTATAGGAAATGTCTTACTGTTCTCGTACAAAGACCAGTTTGTTCTTCAAGTGATTGGATTTCACCAGCAAGAAGCCCTTCGTTTCGGCGTGGACGTTTTCGACTGATTAGACAACCACCAGTATGCTTTCATTGTAGACGTATTAATGTGTTAGTGAAAACGATTGACGGTTTGGTGCATAAAAGAATGGGCAAACCACAATATCTTTTAAGAGATGAATTTAGAAAACTTGAAAGATTATATAACAATAAGCCCGTACTACAATATCACTATGAACTAAGACGTGCTTACTTGGCGCCACCGCTATAGTCAAAGAACGTTTGATGTTTCTGACTTCTAGGCATTCCCTGAATGAAGTGTTAGTCAGGCATATTTGTCCTTCAACTCATTGGATTTGTTCAGGAGACTCTTCTCTCGCATCAATTAGTTTGTGTTCATGCGCGCATTGCCGAAGAATTAACGAGCTGGAATTAACCCTAGATGGA